CAAATATATATATATATATATATATATATATATATATATATATATATAGTTAATAATGTATTTGGTAATCCGTATGGATAATTCCAAGGATCTTAATTCCTCAGAAAGACCATTTTCATACAAATAAATAGGTGACATGTATTATTGTTTTCAATTTATGCATACAGTTGTTTTGTGGGGGGCAGGTTTAAATTTCTATGACAGGAGAGGTGGAAGGAGATATATATGTCTGAATATGAGACAGTGGAACATAGGAAAAAAAATATATATATATATATATATATATATATATATATATATATATATATATATATATATATATATATATAATATCGTTATAAACGTATTTACCCTCAGTTCTAGAATGTGCCCATACCAGTGCATGGACAAAAGCCCCAAATCGTTCAATCCCCCCAGTCACAGTCACACTGGCGTCGGCTTCAAAACAAACCTATCTATGCTATGCGGAAGGTGCTCCCGCAATTTGGAATATCCGGGACCAAGTTTCTATATTGTTTAGGAAGATTACATACCACGCATTGATTGCAACAAAAAGAACGTGAAGCATTTTATCTATCTCTCTCCCTCTTCATCTCTCTCTTTCTCTCCCCTATCTCACACTCCTCTCTCTTCTGTCTGTTGAGTGATTTATTCTATGCAATTGTATTTGAAAATATATTGTATTCTTTCAATTTTAGATAAAAGTTTATTAAAACCTAATTATTAAAGAATACTGTTATATTGCTTCGGAGTTTTGGCATTTTTTTCACTTGATTTTGCTTTTCGTCTGGCAGTGAAACAATGCAGAGAGATTGAGATGTGACTACAGCAATAATATTTTCATGACTGAGAATTTCGAAAATAATGAAATACAGTTCAGATAATGCCTGCAGGCGTAGTATTTTTCTGATTGCATACAAATATAACAAGGAGCGGGTTTTACTTTAAATGCAAGCAATAAAGTGAATGATGGAATTAGTTTATGACTGCATGATGACTTGAGGTGTCAGAAGGAAAGATGCAGAAAGAATTTGAAAGGATAGACTATGCGCTGATTCAACAAACCTCGATATGGAATATTAAATTTTTGTTTTTAATGGCAAATATACAATTGATTTTTAAAAAAAATCAAACAAAAAAACCTCTACACCTACGCAAACCAAACGATAGTTGCCAGCTCAGAATAAAACACTTTTCCTGTACAGACGATAACTTAAAGATTAACCCATAATATTTTGCTGCCATTTTAAACTGAAGCCTTCTTTATCCATATAACGTGATAATTTACTTAAAGTTTATATGTTCTTGATTTCCGAAAAAATCATGGAAATTTTCCAATATATTTACGTACATTATCACTTTAATTATACTTTTATAATTTAGATGGATGGGAAAAGGGGAAGTCTTTTTAAAATGACACCCGTAGTTTACTAGAAAAGTATTATTCTCTTCTCATGTATTACTTCTTTTACCGGTCATGCTTCTATGGGATTAACGACACTGAAATATTTACACCCAATGTAATTTTTCATTTTACCAAGAGGTGAAGTTAGAACTTTCAGGTATACAACGAGGTTATTTTTATTTTTGATACTGCACAAAAGAGAATATTTAGTACAAAGCTTTATCATCACCTTGCAAAATTGTCTACATAACTCATATTTCTAAGTTAAGAGCTGAAATTAATCATTACTTATTAAGTGATGTAAACAGTCATTGAATTCTAGTCAACGCACTCTGTCCACTGATTTGGGTTAAAAAAAGAACAACCCCATTTAAATAGAGATTGAATGCAAGCCAAAAAAGAAATTTAGTGAATGTTCATTTTGTTGCCTTCCGTGTCGCCTGTTGTTTCAGTCCTCTAGATCCGAAAATCACTTCGGGAATTGAATCAATAAAAGAGGTTTTGTTTTTTGTACGTTTCATTATACAAGACGGAGAGACGGGGTAGCATCAGTTCTAAGAAGCAGTGGGAACGCAAACCGACTCGTTTACTTAGCATACTATCACATGCGGGTTAGCTTCTCTAAGGACTCTTTGTTCGGAAAGTGTGTCCACGGTTCAAAATTCTTGCGCCCTTCCATCGTCTTTTTGTCGTCGTTTTGTCTTATATCCAAATCTTAGTCAAAGACAATCTAACACTGTCAGAATTCCACGTCCACGAGTTATTCCGGCCCAGCCTTTCGCAGTCAATAGTAATTTAAATAATTATGAAACTGGCCATGTATGTCAAAATCATTTTATATCACTGTTATACCATAATACCTATTCTATTGTAATAGACTCTCCCACAGATAATAAGTAGTAGTAGCAGCAGTAGCCAGTGGGGCTCAGTGGTGTTGAGCAAGTTAGTCGATGTCGGACATTGGAGTATCAACCATCACATTTAGATTGCTGCGTCATTAACTCTTATTTCAAGTTCTTAACGTTTTGTACGTCGAACCTAATTTAGGACGACTTATTGAAATACAAGCCTCCAATGTGAAAACTACTCAACAACAATCACTAATAATTAAGGTTTATGAAGGTTCATTATATGAATTTTAATTTTTGCTTCAATGCCTCATTTCCACTGCACGGCGTAATTGTTGCATCTGCCTGTAGAATTAATGACATAATTTTTTAAACAAATAAGTTATAGTTTAAAATGACAAAAAATGGACGCCATTTCTTACAAAATTACTTTTAGTCTATTTTCCATTCCATTTTCCAGAGGAAATGAAAAAAAAATAAAAATAAAAAAACACAAAAAAACAAAAAAAAAAAAAACAAAGAACACATATTAAATTACTATAACACAATTTTCAAACATCTGGTGCGTGGTCATTGGATGTTTGTTTCGCACGAAAGGAATTTATCAATGAAACATCCGTTCTTCCATACTTCTGCTTGAATTCCATCCAGACCTGCTGTCTTGTTTTTTAAGTGGTTTGATGGCGTATTCAAATTTCTGAATGTCCAGTTCATCCGTTCATATTGGCTTTTATCAAACACTTTTAACCCAAGTTTATTGCCTATAATGTGTATGTAAACAAGTAGGTACTTGGATTTAACTTGGCCTGTGTTATCTCTTTTCGGACCGGAAAATTTAATTTCTTATGAACCATGCTTGGATTTTGGCTTATAGCAACCAACTAAATATTAAGGACAGGATCGGTGGATGTTGAGTCTAGACATCGTGGAAAAGTTATAATGAAATTGTGCATAAGTTTAGATTACGGGATCCAGATTATATGAAATAAATAAGGAGGTAGATACGCAAGAATTTTCAGCGATCAACCTGTGATTAGAAAAGAAGCAGTGGGTAGAATATAGCTAAAAAAAAATGGCTGGAATAATAGTGGTCAGAGGTATTGGTCCAAGGATGATTAGTTAGACAAAGTATGGTTCCTGAAAGGAGAAATGTTATAAAGAGTGTTTCAATAACTTGGACAGATTTTAAATATGAATTAATCTTAAGCGTTTATTGATTTTTTTTCTTTTTCTTTCAGATTTAACAACTTAAGTCTTTGGTAATTTCAACTATGGAAAGCTTAACAATCAAACAACGAAAGCCTATTACGTAAATGGACATTCAAACAGAAATGCATTTCGCACACTTCGTGATATTTTCGGTCAAATTAATCGACCAACCTAGAGTGCAATTGGAAACGATGTAAACGTTGTTGTGGAAATGTTCAATTCATGCGCGCGACGACGAATAGAGGGGTCTGGATATTTTGGCCACATTCTCGTGCACTGAAATAATTTTTTCAGCTGAACGGCGTAAACGAGCACGCAATGGTGTTTTCACATCTACCACCGACCCAGTTTGTTTGAATTTATGAACAATTTTTCCATTTGCTCACTTGAAACTTTAACACGTTGTTTGATTGTTAATCTTTCCATGGTTGAAATTGCCAAGGACTTAAGTTGTTAAATCTGAATGAAAAAGAAAAAGAAAAAAATATCATTAGACGCTTAAACATAATTCACATTTAAAATCGTTCCAACTTATTGGAACAGCCTTTATAATTCTAACGATTCTTCTGAATACACTCTATATATGCTATGTTTTCTTTAGACATAATTGGCCCTGATCTAGCATCTCGTCTACAGTCACTCTCTAACAGAGGCGCCGTCGCCTCTCTCTGTCTTTTCTACAAATACTTTCATGGTAATTGCTCCGATGACCTGCTTTCACTGGTTCCCAGACTCCATGGATTCGAGCGCCCTACGAGGCTGGCATTCCGCTCCCACCCTTACACTGTCGAAACTTTTAAATGTAGCCGTCTCTTCTACTCCAATAGCTTCATACCTCGCACCTCTCGCCCGTGGAACATCCTTCCCAATTACAGTTTCCCTGACAGCTATAATCTCCAACTATTCAAATGTAATGTCAATCGACACCTCCAGTTACCTTGATCTACACACTATCCCTCTCCGCATCCTTTCTTCTATCACTCCTATCTGCTCTCGCTCCAAATCTTCTGCAACCCCCTGCATCCTAGTGGCTTCACGCCTTGCTCGGGGCATAATGCTTAAAAAAAAAAAAGAAGACATTTTATTTGATATAAAATAATCTACGTTGCAACTCGAAATATGATTCTGAAAGTTTTTCTTCCACTTGCGTGCATGCACATACGAATTCAGTTATCCGTGCGTCCGTGACTCGTAGACTGACCTTTCTTACAGGAATCAACTTTGACGAGATTATAACTGCGTAATCGTTACTGCTGAAGCGTGTAAGCGAGAAGATTCTTGCTCGTTCTGCTACACTTTGAATAAGTGTCTATTTTCTCCTGCTTTTTTTTTCTTTTTCCTCGATGTGTATATAAGAGGCTGAAAATGGGAGAAATGTTGTCTGTCTGATGTGTATCGATCCTCGGTATTCTGTAAGATAGTAAATATTTACATATGGCTATCCCATCTTTTGATTAGTTGCGACATATTGCCTTAACTTACGAACCAATATTTGGCATAAACATAAAAAATACGTACCTACGAATAGAATTTTTTCTATGTATCTTACGTTCGTACGCATTTTTCTTTTCCCAATGTCTGTCTATCCAACTATCGTTCGTACGCTAACCTCTGAAAACATTTTACGTTTCCCAATATCTATCTATTTACCTATCTATCTATTTATGTATCTATCTATCTGCATTTATCTAAGCCTGTCGAATCTCTCTCATTTTGCGTACATCTATCTATCTATCTATCTATCTATCTATCTATCTATCTATCTATCTAAGGTACGCTACTCTATAAAAAGCTTTTCGTTGCACCTCAGAATATTTATTTATAAACTACGTTTTCTATTTCGAAAAACGATGTATATTTTTTTTATATATCAAGAAAAATTTCAGCAAAATCTTTTTCCACTTTTCATACATTTTCCAAAAATATCTATATATGTATCTCTTTTCTGTTTGATTTTATCCAATTTCATCATTACATTTTCATATCTGTCTATTTGATTCTATTCAATTCCATAATCACTTTTTCATATCTATCTATCTATCTATCTATCTATCTATCTATCTATCTGATTCTATTCAATTCCATCATCACTTTTCCTATCTATCTATCTATCTATATATATCTATCTATCTATCTGATTCTTTCTAATTCCATCATTACTTTTCATATCTATCTGATTCTATTAAATTCCATCATTACTTTTTATATCTATATCTATCTGATTCTATTCAATTCCATCATTACTTTTCATATCTATCTATCTATCTATCTATCTGATTCTATTAAATTCCACATTTGCATTACTTTTCATTCATCTATCTATCTATCTATCTATCTATCTATCTATCTATCTATCTATCTATCTATCTATCTCATTCTATTCATATCTATCTTCACATTTGCATATCTATCTATCTATCTATCTATCTATCTATCTATCTATCTATCTATCTATCTATCTATCTCATTCTATTCATTTCTATCGTCACATTTACATATCTATCTATCTCTCTATCAAACTCTAAGCAAATGTTCAGAACTTGCAAAAATTAAAAAAATAAAATGTTTCCCCTCTTCTTACGATAAACATTGTGAGCAGTGA